AAAAAAAAAAAAAAAAAAAAAACCCCACCATAATTCAGGGAAGTATCAGAACAGTAGGAGAGGTTAAGAGAAATTCTAAGCCAAAACAGGATGTTTTTGCTCAGTCTAGCAATCCTTCAAACAACAAACTCACACCTAGCTTGAGGCAGGCGAGCACATGGGGCATGGGAGGAAGGAGTATTTGGGAGGTAAACCTTGAGGCTCATACAGCTGAAGGGGAAGTGGAAAGGACTGTAGGCATATTACAGCCCCCGTCAGGTGAAACGTCCCATAACTCATGTTAACTGGTCCAATTTTGATGGGTGCCAACGGTGCAGTAACCAAGTCCTTCACCTCCCACACCCCCAGAGGGGCACACTGCAGACCTCAACCCCAACTGAGAATTTGTATTACAAGATCTCTTCTCTCCAGGCCTTGCACCTCCAGTAATTCATCTCAGGGCTCAGCTCCGGTTCCACATTACCAGCCTACACTGTTGCACAAGGGGAACTGAAGATGCTGCAAGCACAGGACCTATTTGCGGCTTTCATTTTAAAGGTGTAACTGAACCACACATCTGATACATGTGTATATCCTGTACATGGCAGGGTGGAGGGGAAGCATGTCCAAGCAACAACTCAAGCACATGTTTTGGGGTAGCGTATAAGTTCTGTAAGGGAGGATATTGCAAACCTTGACATTTGTTAGGTTAATGAAGGTATTATATGTATATTCAACAAACCAAACTTCAACCACTTAACGTTCAAGGATGGAAAGTGCATGTGAAAGTTTAGTTTTAAAAAACCAACTTGATCAATTAAAAATTGCAAGTGTCAGAGGCCTGTTATGCTATAGCCTGCAGAGCAATAAATCCAAATCTCTATCTATGCAATTCTGCTAATCACGTACACCTCAGGGTTACCAGTGCTTGAACAGGGAGGAAAGGTGCTCTCACCACAGCTATGATCAAAACTATTTGGATCCCTCATATTTGAACAGGGATAATTAAAACAAGAGCAAAAGCATAGTTTTAGCATACCTTTCCCACCTCAAATACCATTAAATTGATGCCTCTCAAGTTGATTTAACTCTATGGAAAAATACACAGAGAAATCTAGTCTGCAGACAAGTACATGATTCAGAACTCGGTCAATAAACAGGGTCAACTGAGGTGAAGAATGGATGTTTTCAAACTCATCTTTGCAAGAGTCTGAGCAGATATAATGGGAAAGAAAGCACCAACATCAAAAAGAGACAAAAAGCTTCCGTAACTGTCCTGTACACTGACTCGAGAGGGCTTTACTTGACTACTTTCCTGTTTCCATCCAACAGGTATTTCACAGAACAGGCTAAACCATCAAAACTTCTTTTCCAAATCCTTTGGCATTTAGGGCTTTAACAGTCCAATCTCCCAGGCCCAACTATACTGTTTCCCTGTGTTGCAAAACAACCTTCGGTTTTACTTTAGAAAGCACAAAGCTCTTCCTTCCACAGTGTCTCCTCCGTGAGCACATGCACTCCATGCTGCAGTTTGTGCCATCTGCAGTGGCCACACAAAATGTTTCAAGTGGAGTAGAAACATCCAGATGGAAGACTGTTGCCCACCCCCAAGGAGATATTGCAGGATAACTATGTCTAGACAAGTCCTCCAACTTTAACTGCTTCAAAGCACCTGATCATCTCCCTTCCCAGAAGAGATCATTTTTTCCCCCCCATCGATAAGACCATGCTAGATTCAAAGCCTCCTTTTCCAGCCTCCAACACAGCCTAAGTTCCTAATTTTCACAATTCCGAGGAGCTCCAGAGGTCCCTTTTCTGGTCCTAAGCACGTTGCCACCTCAAAGAAGAGAAAGAAACTCCAGTGACTCGAAGGCGCTGGTGTTGGCAGCAGCAGGCGGGGGGGCAGCCGGGCCCCTGCCCGCTCTCGTTGCCACTGTCACACGCCGTTCAGCTTCCAGTTAGCAAGGCACCAGCTCGGGGCTCCAAACAGATTCAATCCCCCACTTGTACTGACTTGCCACATGACAAGTAGGGAAGAGTTACGCCTTATTTTCCCTTCTACCTTAGAAAAAGTGAGTGTAATAGCTTGCCCTATCTCAAAAAAGGGTTTCAGATACAGTCAGTAGAAGCGGGACGCTTGGTTATCGTGCAGTAGCTGGAATAACAAAGGTGCAATTTACCGTTTCTTTAAAAAAACCCAACTGCTTCTGTGAACCTCTTCATCTTGATTTCTAGCTACATCCTCTCCCCAGCCTGGAAGGAGCCCCAAGTGCCTGCAATCAGAGCCCCTCATTAACACCCACCCCCACCCCACCCCCGCACTCATGCCCTTTTTCCCTTTTTTTTTTTTTTTTTATCTCCCCACCCCCGAATTTCAGGAATGTTATCTCTCAGCATCTAGTTATCCAATAAGTTAGAAGAATGCAGTAAACCCAGCAGGGGGGTTAGATTGAATCACTGGCAAATGGATGGAAAAAATCCACTATTGTGTAGGACAAGGCGGTCATCGACAAGGAAGGCTGATAAAATCCACACAACTCGAATGAATTTTTTTTTTTTAGAGAGAGAGAGAGAGAGAGAACCAGTAAAGAGAATTGAAATAAGGCTTGTCTGGTCTGATGCAACTTCAGAAAGGGTGCTGCTGGTCTACCACCCATCTGAGCAATTAGTGACCTATTTATTTTTTTTCCAACTGTGATAAAATTGTGTTTCACTTGAAGTGGGAGGAAATGGTCAGAGCTCAAGATTCCCCCCCTTTTTTTTTTGGTCAAGAGTTTAACACCTTTGGCAAGCTTACTTTTTCCACAGACTACATTCGATCAATTACTTTAACATTAACATAACCATGCACTTCCACGGTTAAAATTAACTCATGAAGGATTAGCAAGTATCCACTCCAGTCCTAGACATGAAAACCTCTGCATCAGCTCCCTGCTGCTCTCAGGCATCTTGCTTCCCTGATTTTTTTTTCCCCCCTCCTGTTCCCAGCTGAAAAGCTAGGACCTCCAAGGCCTTTAAACTGTCCAAAATTTCCCCTCGTCCTCCACTATACAACGCTATTTAAAACATTTAACATGTAAAATCACTTCCTTGAGGTAAGCAAAATACACGACTACATACAGAAATAGTCAAGAGCCCTCAATGTTTGCTACACCGAATTTATCAGCAGCATTTTTCCACCCAAGAAGGAGCCAGAAACATGTTACACCTAACAGTTCGGGTTTCACATGCTTTCAGGTCCTCCCTCAAGGCTTTTTTTTTTATTATTATTATCTAGCTAGCGATCCACTCTTTTGATTTTGATTATCCACCTACCAAAGAGAAGGGACAGAACCCTGTGAATAAACCCGCCCGACGAGCAAAAAGTGTTAAAACACGCGGGAA